ATCGTGCTTATTCTGTAATTTCTTCATTTCACTGTGTCAGCTTACGAGATTCTACTTTACCCGCTACCAACCTACCAGCTACCAGCCTACCAGCTACCAACCAACCAATTACCAATCAACCAACTACCAGCTACCAACTACCAGCCTACCAGCTTACCAACTACCAGCTACCAACCTACCAGCTACCAATCTACCAGCTACCAATCTACCAGCTACCCACCTACCAGCCTACCAGCTACCAACCTACCAATCTACCAGCTACCAACCTACCAGCTACCAACCTACCAGCTACAAACTACCAGCTACCAATCTACCAGCTACCAATCTACCAGCTACCAACCTACCAGCCTACCAGCTACCAACCTACCAACCTACCAGCTACCAACCTACCAGCTACCAACCTACCAGCTACCAACCAACCAACCTACCAGCTACCAACCTACCAGCTACCAACCTACCAGCTACCAACCTACCAACCTACCAGCTACCAACCTACCAACTACCAACCAACCAACTACCAGCTACTAACCTCCTAACCTACCAGCTACCAACCTACCAGCCACTAATCTACCAGCTACCAACTACAAACTACCAGCCTACCAGCCTACCAACTACCAGCTACCAATCTATACCAGCGTACCACCTACAAACCTACCAACTACCAACCTACCAGCTTCCAAATAGCAGCTACCATCTAGCTGCTAATATATGGTGCTAGCATAACCGCAACCAACGAACAGAGAGAGCTACCAGTCTACCAGCATAACAGTTATACCAGCTTACCAGCTATCGTCGCCTCCCGTGCTAATCAGATAACGATCATCGTAGGCAAACATCACGTTCGTTACGTGGGCGGAATGTCCGACGTAGCGTCGGTGCGGCGCCTACAGAGATGAAATCACGTGATCAGCACTCCCGTATAGCCGATTAGTGCAGCCTAGACGCGCGCAGCCGACAATGCGTGATATCGAATGCCGATATCTTGCGGCTATACGAATCCGTATATAACGGGCCATAAGTCAACAGCATTAGTGCGCGTCTTTTCACTCCGGCTCTGTCCCGAGCGTGCGCCTAACAGGCAAATGTACTCGGCGTAGCAATTTTCAATGACTGCGCTGCTGCTGCGGATGACCTCGCTGTGAACCCTACGGATATGTATCGATTCGTATGAGCAGCAGCTGCTGCCGCATCGCGTCTTCCTCGACTATACTCGCGCGCGAGAGAGAGCAACAGTCGAGTGGTGAAGCCTTGCCCCCGTACGTAACTGTGCATGCACAGTCTTACCCCCGTACGTACGTATGTATGCACAACCCTCCCCCGTACGTACTTATGTATGAACAGCCCTCTCCCGTACGTACGTATGCATGCACAGCCCTCCCCTGTACGTACGGTATGCACAGCCCTCCCCCGTACGTACGTACGCATGCACAGCCCTCCCCCGTACGTACGTATGTATGCACAGCCCTCCCCCCGTACGTACGTATGCACAGCCCTCCCCCCGTACGTACGTACGTATGCACAGCCCTCCCCCCGTACGTACGTATGCACAGCCCTCCCCCCGTACGTACGTACGTATGCACAGCC